TTCTTCTCCCAGTTGGCCGAGCAATGATTAACCATCATGCTGCAGAATGTGTTTGTATTGGCCTTTACCTCTCCACAGGGCTCAGTGACCTCCAAATCAGGCCAACAATTGCAACCAATGCAGCAACAGGCCTGTTTAGTTTGAGCCACCTTCAATCGACTGCCCCCAGGAGGCTGCAGTGTTCATCAACAAACAGCATGCGGATGGTTTTACTTTACAGCCCTACCAGCATGTCCTGAGGGTAACCCTAAATAAGAGAGGGGCTTGGGACTGAAACTGAAATCCCCCTCCAGTCAGAAACCAGTTTCTTGTTCCTGCAGTGACTCCTGACTAAGTGACATATTTTATGGATATTTCATATTATATTCAATGGATTCAGTGGTACAATGAAGAGAGTGAGAGTGAACACAATAACTGCAGGAAGAGATCTGGAATCATTTTGAGCAGATTGTTGAAAGAGATGAGTTGTCGTCATATTTTAAGCACTTTTTATAAAATTCTCTATCTGTTATGTATTGTTTCAGATTATTTTTAATAATTATACATGCTGAATAGGGTTCTTTTTTTTAAAACAAATTCAGTGTTTTCTTCTCATTGTTGTATCAGCTCAGCTCTTTTAACTTTTCTAATGCAGGATGAGGCTGTTTATCAGAGAGTGAAGGCTCTGTGAATATAATAACTTGTGTTCAGGTCTCTACCATGCCTTCACAAAGATCTCGTGACCACCCACAAATATTTGGCGACCCCTAGTGGGACTCAGGCACGGTACAGTATTTATTGTGGAAGGCATGGAATCATTTTTATTTATAGTTTGTTGGCTTCTTAGATATTGAGTCTAAAACATACCAGAAAAATCCATGTCCAGTGGCGGACATACAAAAAGAATAGGGACACCCGCTACTTGAGATGAAAGTTGTGATGTATTTTTGGTGAAATAGTTCCAAACCCTGTTTAATCTTAATCTCCACTGAGTCCACCATGTCCATGTCATTAAATAACCCAGAATCCCAGTCCCAGAGTTATTACTGAGGACAAGCCCTCTGTGTCTGTAGTGGTAGCTACGGCCCTGCACATAGAGAATCTGGGTCTCTGGGCAAGAAATGAAGCTGCCATGTATAGTATTATGCATGCACTCTATATTATCAGAACTTGAAGTACTAGCCTTGACTGTATCTGAATATTGATCTTGCATTGATGATCTAATACATAATAGTCTTTCTCTGCTTTATCAAACTGTCAATGTAAATGACACTACAGATTTAGATCATTGCAGATAAGATAAAACAGAGGTTTCAAGTCACAATGTATGGAAGCGTATTGCATTCACTTGAAATTTTATTAGTAATTATTTGTGTTTTTCTAAGTAATTTTTTAAGTTTTGTTTTTCTGAGTAAGTTTCCCCCTGTTTTTCAGAGTAATTTATTATTATGGTTGGTTTTTCAGAGTCATTTTTTTCAGATTTTCTGAATAATTATTTTTTTCTGTTTTTCGGACAATTTTTTTTTTTTCTGAGTTTAGAGAGCATTTGAAACAATAGACGCATTCATTCCTTTATTGAGAGCTCGATTTAACGGAAACAAACATAACCGGCTTGTTTAGTTCAATTTTACCTAAAGTTCATAATTTTACTTTGATCTGGGTTTCAGACACTGGGAGATAGTCCTGTCTTTAAGTCATATAGATGGTATTATCATTAGTTTGTCGACTCTACGCAGGAACCTGAGGACTTTGCAGTTGTTCAGAAGGAAAGCCCATTCAGATCTGCTAGACATAGAAATATATACATAGCAAAATTGACCCGGTACGGTAGATAGTTGAAGATGGGGCATGTATGTGCGGGCAGGAGTCACCATAGATCCATGGGAGTCACTTGCAGGTTGGGGGTTCTTGCAGGAGTTCGAAATATCTCGATAATTCAGAAAAATTTGTCTGAAAAACAGGGGAAAAAAATGTGTCAGAAAAGCAAAAAAGATTATTCAAAAATTATTATTTCAAGTGAATGCAATACGCTTCCGTAACAATGGTCCATCAATGATTCAATCACAGCAGCTATCTCAGTTTCCTGGACAGGAGACTGTGATACAAGCTCTTGTTTTGTAATGTGTCATGAAGTTGGACTCATTAATAGAAATCAGAACAACATGGTTTTAGAATTAGGAGATACAGTAATATATCTATATATATATATATATACCTTCATCCACTCAGCAGTGATTATTCTGACCTCATGTCTCAGACTCATATAACAGCAATGTGATACTTCACTGAACCACTGCTGGGAAATGTGTTCTTCTGCCAGGCTCAGCCACAGAACAGCCGAGGGTTGAGATTCATGGTACTGTAGCTCATGGACACGTGGGCAGTGTGTGGCTTTGACTCCTTTGACCCACTGGTTCCCAAACTTTGCCTCAGACGGACCCCACACACCAGTCAGATGACCTCAAGTACCCCTTTCTTAACACCACTAGTCCAAATGTTCCGAATGCGTTGAGTAATTTTAAACTGGATGTTATTTAACATTATTCACTCTATGTTAATGGATAATATTATTATTTCTTGTAGTTGAACTGTCTGTTTGAGTTGTTTAACTTTGCATTCACACTACTTGTGGCTCTAGCTGGATGTTTCAACCATTCGTCTATTTTCAGCTAACCTTTTCATCTATACTCTTGGCTATTTCAACCATTTCTCTGTTATTTCTCGCTTACCAACAAGTTTTCATGGGCTCTCAATTGACCCTTCCTTAAGTCCCACCCCCTTTTGCTCTGTGCTCCAATAAGAGTTGAGCAAGATCTGCGTGAACCTCGGTCAGAGCCATGGTCAACTTTCTCCTTTCCTGTACTTAGATATTGCTCATTCTACAGAAATGTCCACTTTTGGAATGACTGGATGACTTAAAATGCATTTCTTTTTCTAACATTTAAACCAGAACTCATTGAGTTTATGAATACACATAAATCACAACTTAATGATTTCTGAAAATCTTTTTTGTGTATTCATTTATGGACAACATAGACTGTCTTTTTGTCTTTGGTATAACCTTACTGTTTTGGCAATATTAAAGGATTTTATGAAATATTATTTCTCAGTCTCTTCAGTACATGTAGACAGTGTAACACAAGAATTATATGAATGCAATAAACCAGGAGATTATCTTTTACTTATTTTAATCAGGTTTGTTAAAAGTGTGGCTGAATGGTATTTGTTCATTTGTTCAACCATATATTTGCTATAACAGTGAATATATTTGAAACACGGATACAAACAAGTAATGATGCAAACCTTTAAATCTTAACTCTTGATATATTCAATGGATGTAAATCATTATCATGTTAAATATGATACATTTTATTTAATGTGAAAGACAAAACACACATCCTATGTACCCGGCTGCTATGTGACATATAATCACAGCGTAAGTTAACTAGCTAACGTTAGCAATACGCTGGCTAATGAGTTAGCTAATTATTATTATTATTATTATTAGCTAGCCACTTATCTGGCTAATTATTTGCTAGCCAACATCAGCAAACTTAAGATGAAACTATATATGTATTTATTTTATCAAATAACTATCTTCAACATGTGGTCTTTTCAACATAGATTAGCTTAGCACATAGCATATCTAAGTACAGGAAAGGAGGAAGATGGGCGAGGCTTACCAAGGCTCACCTGGAACAGCTGGTGTTCAGGTGTTATACACACAGGTACAATGACAGTCTGTGTCCTTATGTGCTATTTCACCTCATTTTCTGAGTCTGCATTGACACAGCTGTGGCAGCAGATGGCAGTATATTCTAATATATCCCAAAGACTGTGCCATCACAAGACAATACATCCTTTTCTTTTAAAGGTTTATATTTACAAAAGCTTCTTTTGCAGACGGTACCAACTCATATCCTGAACATACATAAGCCTGCAATATAAATTCATCACATCTGAAAATGACTAAAAGTAAGTCAGTAAGTAAAGGTGTGTGTGGTCACTGTTACACTGACTGTTTCTGTAAGGTTTCTAACATTCACATTACCATCATTAACCAGGGGAGTGTGTGCAGAGCTCTCAGGGGACAAGTGCAGCAGGGGTCCTGTCAAGAGCTGTCAAGTTACTTATGTTAGGTACAAAGAAAAAGGAAATAAAAATATACCGTCTTCAAAATAAAAGCATACAACAGCCTTTTACTGAATGGTAAATTAAAATGTGTAGCTATGTTTTGAAGTTCTTGTACCATGTAACAGTTATTTAGGGTGGCCTGTTTGATGACAAAAAGTAGTCCTGAAGATGAAAGGAGGTAAGTGGGACAGATAGATAGGTTAAATTAAATGTTCAATGTGCTTTAATCCATGTTTTTCATTTTCAGCATTGATTATATTGGTTATTATATTGGTCATTAAAAGATGTTATTCTCATATCACCTTCATTAGCCTATCTGTGCAGTGACTGTTTTTTATTCTGTATTTATATTTCTTATTCATTGATTTCTTTTTATATTTGTAGTTTTTATCTCCCTGTAAAGCACATTGGTCAGTGTGTTGTTTTCTTTTTAAATGTATCTCTTTAAACTAATTGACTATTAAGAGGATTAGGGCCAAGTGAAAAATTTGAGTTCTAAGTAAAAACAAAAAAGTTCAGAATTATGACTTTCTTTTAACATTTACTTAAAAAATGTATTTGAGGTTTGAGTCCTTTTCCATGGAAGCCCTATTCTACCAATGTGACGGGGGAAATGATTCTGTTTGTCACTATTATGAGAAGCTTTCACAAAATAATGACTTAGTGATTCTATTTTCATATTTCAAGTCTATATTTTGAGAAAGTTTCTCATTATAATATACTGAATCTTTTTTTTCCCATCACATGGAAATGGGCTTCCATACATCTTCTGGACACACTCAATGATAATACAGAAATGTTGACGCCTTTATTTTGAAGGTTACACTTGAAGGAAGTGGATGTAAACTTGTGCCCCTGGTTGTCATTTCGGTTAGCTTGAAGAAGGAGACTTGTTACAGCTTCATGGAAGTACAAACACGGAAACTTGTGTGAACGATGTATTGTTTAGAGGAAGCGCCAGTGCGCGACGCTTCTTCAGGTCGCGCTTTGTGACGGGCCGCGCCGATGCGGAGGAATGGACAGAGGAGACAGAATGGTCCACGGCGGAACGGAGCCGGGACGGGCTGAAGAGGCTCTGCATCAGTGCCAGCTCATCCAGAACCTGGTGGACATCTCCATCTCCAGCCTGCAGGCGCTCAGGACCACATGCGCCGCATCCAACGACCTCACCCGGCGGGAGATCCGCAATTTAGAGGTACGGTTGAGGAGGCACGCTCGTGCTCCTGCTCTGGGGCTCGGGCCTCCGAAACTTTCTGTACAGTCAGTGCAGTGTGACGACATCTGCCAGCTTCTTGCTTGTTAGTGGAACCCTGTACAAACTGAAACAGGTGTCACCCATCACATTCTCTGACCTGTGGGGAGTGTTTACTACATTGACTTTTTCACAGCAGCCATTTTGACAGCAGGTAGTAGGTTAAACACAGGTGGTACCAGTGACACTTATTAAGGCTCTGTTCTGTTCAGGTCAGACAGAGTCAGGGGGCTGCAGTAGAACTTCTTCACAGCAGTCACTTTGACATGAAGTAGTAAGGTAAACACAGGTGATGTCACTGATACTGGAACTAGAGATAGACCGATTATCAGCCTGACTGATTATTGGATCCAATATTTAGCATTCTTCTGATTATCTGTGTTTTTACTCTTTTTATCCGATTGGCAATAAAATAAATGAATTTAAAATTGCACTACTTTGGCTGCAGCATTTACTTAAACATATGCTTAAAGTACTTATTTAACTTAACCTTACTTACTTGACATGAACTAGTAGGGTAAACTTAGGTTTATCAATGATACTAATTAAGTTTCAGTTTCATTTAGTGTAGCAGAGCCTTTTCAGTGGAAGGCAGCACATTGACTCTGTTGGACCTAGAATATGTCAGACTGCACCCAGTGGAACTAGGTAAGGCCCGATTATCGTATCCGATATTCAGCATTTGTCCGATTATCAGTATTGTACTACTGTTATCTAATTGCTGATAAAATAAATACATTTTAAAATGCACTACTTGGTTGCAGAATTGAATTAAACATAAGCTAAAAGTACTTCTTTTACTTAACTAACTTACTTGACATCACATAATAAGGTAAACACAGGTGTGTACAGTGATACAGATTAAGGTTCAGTTCCATTCAGGTCAGAAAAGCACTTTCCTCATAGACCATCATTAGAAAACAGACACTAACAGGCTGCCAATAAGGGCGATACTTACTCTTTGTATTATGAGGTTTTAATCTGTGAAGGTGTTAGTTAGTTAAACCTCCTAGAGGAGTGATTTTAAAGTGCATGAAGACATCTGAATATTGAAGTGGGTTGGGTATTTCTATCCTCAGTCAGTGTGTTACCTACAGTAGACAGTGGTCAGCAGACTGGAGTACCAGCACAGAAAGTAAGCAATGTACTGCTGGGGAGGGGGGTAGCAACGAACCTTTGAGCCACATGACAAATACCCGCTTAAAAAAAATCAATGTCAGTTTTAGTGAATGCTACATTTAGAATAGTTTTCCACTTTACCTGGCCATCACACAGCCCTTACTGACAAGAAAGTGAGGCCATGATATCTATCTGTGCTGTCTCCAAAGCCACCAGACTAGACCAGACATAATATTCAGTTTCAAGTGTTGAAAATATTCTACATATAGTGTACACTTCAACTGATATTGATTTTTTTGGGTGGCCAATAATAATTTCTTGTGCCTGTGTCACTGTGGCAGTGCATTGCTCTGCTTGTGTGCTGGTACTCTGTCTGTGTGTCTCATGTTGACGTCTGTCTGTGGTTCAGTACCTGCATGATTCATTGAAATATTACGTAGCTGTAATTTATTACAGACCACAACAGATGTCACATCAGAAGGATTTTAATCGTTTTTTAAGTGAAAATGAAAATTGTGACGCAAAATGTAGCATACCCACAAATCCTAAATCATTTCGCAACTTCCTCCTTCCTGTACTTACATATGCTATGTGCTAGGCTAGGTTGGAAACACAAGGTAAAAGCAACATACACAGTTATATTTTAAGCTAGCTAATCTACATCGAGCTAGCTAACCAGTTATTAGCCAGCTAATGATTGATGTAGAATAGCTAGCTTGCTAACTTAAGATATAACTACATACATGTTACTTTTGTCTTCTCAGAAAAGCAACGTCTGCAGCATATAGCCCAATTTTAAGTAAGCTAACATTAATGTAAGCAAAATGCTAGCGAACTAGCTAGCTTATCTACATCAAGATATCTATTCAGCTAGTCAGCTAATGCTAACTAGTCAATTAACGATTGATGTGGATTAGATAGCTGTGCAACTGTCTGTCTGTCTGTCTGTCTGTCTCTCAAAAAGGGGCATGACATAGGAGGAGTCAACTGGAAAAACAATTGAGTATACCGTAAACATCACAGGAGACAGAGTTGGACAGACTTCTATTATTTAAGGTCCACCTTGATAATAACAACCTGTGAATGTGACTATTTAAAAACAATGAGCAGATACACTTATTCCTCTGTTATCTCATGATGTCATTGGTAAGTTGCTAGGCAGTAAGGTGAATCACGGTGATCTTGCCAAAAGTCCCCACATTGCTCAACCCCCTCACAGCACACGGTCTGCTCTGGTTGGTTGACTTCCCACAGTCAGTGTCAGTGCTGTCACTGATATCACACTGTGGGCCTGACGAGTGGTGCAGCTGAGGAGTGGCCGCTGCTCTCTCTGGGGGCTGGGAGGAGCACAGAGGCCTTGTTGTGTACATGTGTGTGGCAAGAGGCTAAATTTAGCTGTGGTTCCCTCCCACGCATTCTGAGCATGTCCGGTTTGGCAAGAAAATCAGATGACGTGAAAAAAAGACAGTGGGAGGAGGAGACGAGTATGTGGCTGTGCTGGGGCTCATGTTACAGACAGAGAGGAGAGTGTGTGTACAATCCAGGATGAACTGACTGTGGTTTGTAGATTTTGACAGTTCTCCTTTTCCTTTTCCTGTCCCTTTATTGACCCCTTTTCACCTGTCCACCTTTATCAGTTCATATTATTACTGAAACTAGAGCTGGGTGCTACAGCTGAAAAATACATATTGAAAATGATTGATCATTTTTATTACCTAGCTTACCTAGCTTTTAGTAAAGACCAGGTGGAAAAAATTAAAAGAATGAATTGAATGACTTTGTTGAATTAAACGATTAAATGATAAGTTGATATCATGACAGGAGACGATTACATATTCTATGTATTGTATGATAAGTAAATAATCAAATATAATTATTGAAGGCCTAACTATTGATTTTCTATTGAACAATATTCTTGTTGCAATTGATGAAGTGTCTTTTGCCAATACATACTGCTGTTGTTGTAATGCCCAGACCTAATTGAAACCCATAAACCATGTTAATGTGAAATGTTGTAGACTGGATTTTGACAAAATTAAAAGACATTAGAATAGTTCCACTTAATGCCTGGATGCAGGCATAATAAGACATCTATTGATCTATCTGACACTGTGCAGATAGGATTTTCTTTTTTTTAAAGGAGAGAAGGGTCAAAAGTTTAAGATGTCAAAGAGAAGCCATGTCAGTCACCGCTGATAACAAAAGAGGTTCCTGCATGACCACAGTTTCACAAATTCATGTCAGTGTTTCTCACAGTGTCTCTGCACACGCTGCATTAAAATGGAGCAGATCAATTAAACGCCAACAGAAAATATATGCACAAAAACACAACAAAGGCCCAAGACGTGAAATATGCACATGCAAATTTATGTTATGTGTTTTTGCCCGTTGGTGTTTTATTTAATAAATAGTTGTATTGCATCACACTTTTGTCAGACACTAAGTCACAGAACAGCTCTGGAAGACACAGACAGACCAAGAGTTGCACTGCCAACTGTCAGTGAGACAGACCCTAGTGTGCACAGCTCTGTAATGAGGTTTTGATAGCTTTGACAGCCTTACCCGAAACTAAGCTCAAACCTAACTAAACAGTGTTGTAGCAGCTTTGTGTCATATGACCAAAATAGATATTAGTAGTATTGGTACAAAACAAGGGTCACTAAATGTGGGTTGTGGTATGAAAATATATTTGATATGTTTTATTAGCCAACTACACTCAATCGCTTTCCCTTTGAACAGAGTATCTGCTTGCAATATCTGGTAGTAGAGAGAGTAAAAATGTCATAATAAATTCCAATTCAAATTTTTAACTTTGCAGCTCAAAGGTCCAACTTGTAACATCTAGGAGGATTTATTCATTAGTGTATAATCACCTCAATATAGGAATTGCTGTGTTTTATGTTGAACCGCCATGTTTCTACAGCAGCCCAGAGCGGACAAACCAAACACTGGCTCTAGATAGGAGTCTTAGCATTTTTTGCATGTTTCACAGCCACTTTAGTTTCTCTTTCTTGCTTGGAAGGGGAGGGTGAAGTGAGGGCATTGCAATCTGCAACTACACCGACACTTAATCCTACACTACACTGGTCCTTGTAAAGAAATAATATTTACTGCCATTGCTGTGTTCATTGAAGCATATCCAATATCCAAATAATATAAATATAAGACAACAGATGATAAATAGTGTTCTATAGCGTACCATCGACAGAATGTTTAAAGTGATCTAAGTGAATATATTAGATTGTTTCTCTGCCTGCTGGCTTCACAGCTGTGTGCTGGAACCGCTCTGTGCATTCACTGTAAGAGTTTGTTTCTATGCCTAAATGAATCCAGAACCATCACTTTTGGTGATACTGTGTCAGTGTAGGGACGATGTGGAGGAATTGTCAGATTAAAGTTCCAAATGATGCAAATATGTGTGAGTTGGAAGATTTCAGTCAGCATGTGAGGCTGATGATATGAAGGCAGTCTATGCAAAGTGTTGGTGCTGATCAGGAAAACCCCCTGTGGTTCCCCAACTGTCTACTCGTTTTCTCTCGTCATTTTTCTTTCCTTGTTCTCGTTCTACCCTTTCTGAACTTTTTTTGTGGTTGCTTTTGTTTTTACTCGTCTGCACAAATTATTTTGCACGCCCCCATATTTTTACTGTCATAGTGCACGGACAGAGGCCTACTCAAAACCATGTAGATGATTAGCCTGGACAGCTGCTACTGTATTTGATCCTTAAATAGATTTTTACATTATATCTATTATATCAAGTGTGATACTACTTTATGACATTGTGCTTGCTTCTCTGCATTTTTAACTTTTTTCAATTGAATACC